CATAGTGTAGCTAAAAACATTTTCAAAAAAGTAGCTGGACTGTAGTATAACTTGAAATTTTGAGTAGATTGTAGCTTGGCTAGCAAGAATTTACAAAGTAGCATCCCCAACACTGTAAGCTGTAAATTTATGTTTTCTAACAAGATTCAAATCTACATGTCCTCTGTGCCACAGGGACTAGCACGGGAGGTTTGAATGAGACAGGAACAAACTTTTCAGACACAAATAGTCATGACAAAAACTGATGCAAACAGTAAATAGATTTTGCTTGAATATTTCATCAACTCAAATAAAAACACACACTTTTTGTGTAGCCTGACTTGCTTAATCTGTTTCCATGCTGGCACACTGAGCAGAAGTCTGACTCACACTTGTTTTTTTTCTCTCTAAACTCCACATATCTCTCTGAACTCTCTGAATTTGTATTCCATGTCCTCCTGTGGATGACTAACACCCCATAGGAAGGAAAATCACATGTGAAATATCTTTAACAGCTCAGTTGTTTATTCTAGACAGCAAAAAAAGAAAAGAAAAAGAGCTTAAAAATATGAATGAGACAGTTGAGGAGATGTAGGCGGCAGTTTTTTGACTCGTGCTTCCTACTTCCTCCGTCTTACACTTTCGAAACTTCATTGGCTCATTGCAGCTTGTCTGTGCACTTACCCAAAGGCTGGACAACTGGATTTCAACCCAGAAATTTGATGTATTGCGTCTTTGAACAATCCTTTAATTTATTTATATTTTTATTTTAGAAGAAACATCTGAGAAAAAGATCATACATAATATATACACTACTGTTCTAAAGTTAAAATTTTTTTTTTAAAGTCTCCAAGGCTGTATTTATTTGATCGAAAATACAGTAAAAAAAAGAAATATTGATAAATATTACAACTTAACTGTAACCTGTAACTGTTTTCGGTTTTGTTCTGTTTATATACTGTATATATATATATATATAATTAATAATGTCAATTAATTGCATTATTGTAATTAAATTATGTGATATCAAAGCTGGGGGAGGAAGACTAAGGATGGGATAAATGCAGAGTACTAATTCCTAGTATGGGTAACCATACTTGGCCACATGTCACTTCACTTCACTCACTTCACTGAATTTTCAGATATATATTTAAAATTTAATGTTAATTAATTGTATTATTGTAATTTATTCCTGTGATTTCAAAGCTAAATTTTCAACAGACATTAGCCTTCAGTGTCACATGATCCTTCAGAAATCAATCTAATATGCTGATTTGGTGGAAATATTTCTTATTATTATCACATGGTTGTGCTGCTTAATATTTTCGTGGAAACTGTAATACATTTTTTTCAGGATTCTTTGAATAGAACATTTAAAAGAACAGCATTTATTTGAACAGAAAGGCTTTACTGTCACTTTTGATCACTTTAATGCATTCTTGCGGAACAAAAATATTAATTTCGTTAAAAAAAATCTTACTGGCCCCAAACGTTAGAACGCCAATGTAATTGAGAACTCTATTAGTTGTACTGATCTATAAAAGAGCAACCTCCAAGCATAAAAAGTCCTCTGGGATGTTAACAAAGTTTCACAGTTAAAAACATGTTTTGTAACTGAAATGAAAGCCCAGCTGTCATATGTCCGCACATACTTACAGAAAGCTCTAGTCAGATCACTAAAAGAGAGGTGTGTGCGCAGGGGAGGGGGAATGACGGAGCGCTAAAAAGATGTCTGAGCCATTAACATTCATCCTCTAATAAGATTGCAGTGGTGAATAAATCAGTGTGTTCAGACGAGCCTCATATAAACAAAGCCAACATGGCACACAGCTGCCCAGAGCTCCACTGACCCACTTTGACTAGGCCTATTCTGGGGAGTCTGTAAGGGTAACCGGTCCCAAAGGGGTGGTTACTGGTAGGGCAAGCGTCTGTTCACAAGGCAAGTACATGAGCATGGGGAGGAACTCAGAGTGAGGCTCAGAAAAATCACATTTGAAGGCATTTAGCAGATGCTCTAATTCAGAGTGAATAAAGATGTAATCAATTACTCTGGTAATTATGATGACTAGGTGAGAGGAGTACCTGGGAGTAAGTTTTCAGCAAGATCATTTACTATGAGCACAGACTGCTCATATTATGTTACAACGCTATGATTTTAGGGGGGAAAGGGAGAGAAAAAGATTTTAAATCTAGCACACCTGGCAGACAGACAATTGTTTCCCCTAAACAGAAATGGGATTAAATGGAGAGCAAATGTAAATCTATGTTTCCTGATCTTTAGAAATAGATCTCAACAATGCCTCAAACTGTGCTCAATCATCATCAAAAACCAGAGGTTTCAATATGTACACTCACTTAAAAATAAAGGTTCTTTATTGGCATCTATGGTTCCATGAAGAACCTTTAACATTCATAGAAACTTTACATTCCACAAAAGGTTCTTTATAGTGGAAGAACATTCTGTAGATTATTAAAATGTTCATCTCACTAAAAAAAAAAGTTTCTGTTCACTGAAAGGTTCTTTGGGGAACCAAAAGTGGTTCTTCTTTGACATCACTGCAAAAAAAAAAAAAAAAAAAAACTTTTGGAACCTTTATTTTTAAGAGTGTACTTAAATGTTTATCAAATTCTCACAAAATCAAATTATCTATTCTATCCAGATTTATTTTATCGATGTTTACTCATGGATATAGCTCTATATTTATTGCATACTGCATGTAAACCATCTTAAATTTAAAAGGAGAAACATCTGAGACAAAATCCTTACGTGAAGCATAACCTCTGAGCAATAAAATGTTCCTCTAGGAATACATCGGGACCAATGTAAGTACATCTGAGATTTACTCTAACTGCTAACCATGACCTCTGAGCTGACGTAAAGGTTGGGGTTGCAGTCAGGGTCATTGCACAAATCCAAATAGAGGTAGGGGCGAGAGATTTATCACCATAAACAAGTTGTTAATGGTCACTGGCCGGCAAGGGGATGGTCTCAGATCTTAATCACGACATGAATTACGACCTCTGGATGACAGGAAGACATTGTGGAGAGAGAACGGCACTCAATTTCACATTTCTGCAGTATTGAGAGCAACTGAAACCATGAGATTTTAATTTACCCTAGGAATACCCCACTAAAAACCCAAAAGTATCATCAGTATGTGACTTTTATATGAAAAATCTGATAGTTGCTTTTCAGGAAGCAGTGAGCTTAGCTATCAAGCATCCTCCCCCTGTTTTGACCTAATTTACCCATGAACAAGCTGAATTTCATATCTCTGCATACTTATTTTCAGCTTAAACATAATCCTCATGATGACCTCTTTATAGCGGCAGTCACAGGCCCTGCGTTTGCTTTCATGGTAAATGCATTTGTAGTGATAGTAAAATTAACAACCCAAAGTTATTGTAATTTTTTAAAATTGGACTTCTTAATAATATTTTTCAAGCAAAAGAGAGGGTTGTGGGCATAATGCAAGACACAGGAAAACAAAGCAGGTTTCATAACACATTTGTGTGACTAGACTAGTGTAAATGTGGGTCACATGTTTGGGCAAAAACAGTTGTGCTCAAAATAATCTGGCAGCGAGAGGGAAGTTTCCTAATAAACTTTCCTCATAAAGAATCTGGGAAAACATGTGGTACTTTCTGCTCCACAGCACTCGGCCTGTCCTTGTGCGAGTCCTTAGTTCCCCTCTTGACTAGATGTGCCATGTGGAGGGCTGATCTTCTCGAGAGGTTCCCTCTGTTTTATTCCAATTTAGAACTACATTTCTACATTTCCCAGAGAAAATGCCAGTGGTGTTTGCTTATGTGAAAGCTGCCATCATCATACTAGGACGACAGAATTCAGATTGGCTCCCCTTTAATTCATGTGTGTGAATTTGAATGGAATTGGCCACATCCCACAGGGAGTTGAATCGGAATGGCATTCTCAATTCAATTCTGAACAGAACATAACCCTGTTGCTAAGGTTCTCTGAATGTTTGCTATGCAGTTGCTAGGGTGTTTTGGATGATTGCGAAGTGGTCAGAAGAGCCCACCCTCAAGTACTCTGGTTGCTAGATATGGGTTGAGAACTTCAATGTAAGTCTATTGGATTTTTCACCCATTTCATCATCCACTAGCCAAAAATCACAATTCTAATTACCTACATAAGTAATAGCACATCTATCCTAAACAAACCAAATGACAAGTATGAGCAGTATTAAAGGTGCAGTATGTAATATTGACAGTTAGTGGTTGAAGTGGGTACTGCACTCCAAATTCAAAATAATGGAAAGAGTTGGAAAGAATGGAAATAGTTGTTTCTCCCATGCTCTCCTCAGAATCATTGCTCACCTGGGTTGCCAGATTGAGGACATGCAAGAGGAACGAGCACAATTGTCAATGGAAGGCGACGAGCCTTACACTCTAAGTTGATTAGGTGATTTATCCACGTTTTAATATGCCTCTGTTCATAAAGCTTTCTAGGGGGCTTTCACACTAACATTTTTGGTGCATACCCGGGTGACATCAGCGTTTGGTTAATGTGAATGCTGATTTCTGAACTCGGCCTAAAAAGGGTTGTCTGGGGTACGGTTCATGTGAACTCCGGTACAGTTTGCCTCTGATGTGAACGCAATTATTAGATGGATGCCGAGGCTTTTTAGGTTGGGTAGAATCAGCGATCTCTGAGCCAGTTCGTTTTCTGGCTTCCATGGCTGCAATATGCCGTGTTGTCCACCAACTGGCAACCCGGGGTGTTGAAATACTATTGGGTAAATTGGCAGTGGGCGGAATCATGCAGACCAAAACAAAAACAGAAATTCCGACACGGAACGCACATTTCAAAATAGAATAACTGGCTGTAGCATTGTTTTTCGGAGAAACAAGTATGTGAACTTGATATTGAACCATGTTTCCTAAATATTTACAAACATATTATGGTATTTTTATGTTTTAGTACAGTCAAAAAATTACATACAGCACCTTTTATAGTAATTCTTGCCATAGTGCATAACCTGTATCTTCTAAGCGCTTACCTGCAGAACATTTGGGTTCCTTCCATAACGTAGCACTGGCCCCCGTTGAAGCAGTAGTTGGGCTGCAGGTCACATGGGGACTTGCAGGAGCCATTGGTGCGGACAAAGCCCTGCTGACAGTCTGAGCCGTTAACTGAGTCGACCACACCGGGGGGAGCACGGGGGCCTTCGCCCACAGTGGCTCCTTTGGGGAGCGTGAAAACAGGGTTGGAGGGCAATCGAGGAGGGAAGCGTTTGGAAGGAGGCGTAGTGGAGATATCATCGTAAGAGTCAGTAGTGCTGCTGTAGGGGTAATCGTCGGTGGTGGGAGACACACTGTCGTCGTAGGGCGTCATGTAGTCATAATTTTCGGGCATGGACCAGGAGGTGGGGTCACGGCCCTGAAGCTCGTGTGGGGAAAGAGTCGGTCGGCCAAGGTTCGTGCGGCGGGATCCAGAGTCAAAGAAATCTACGGTGACGTCGGATGGGGAAGGGGGATGAGTTGGGGATGGGGTTGTGGGAGATGTCTCATGGTCTAGGTCAAACACAGTGGTCTCCATGTCTCCTTTAGCATCCTGCCAGGATGGTAGTGTAGGCACTTGCTGCCTCACTTCCTCTTCCGTTTCCTGTTCCTCTTCCTCCTTGAAGGAGATGACATGCTCCTTCTCGAAGGAGGTATTGACAGGCAAGAGTTCGGTTTCTGCAGAGTCAAGGTTGTTATCTGGGCTTGCCAAAGTAGTTGTGGCTCCCTCACTGGAAGTTGGAGTTCCAGGAGTTGGCGAGAAGACCTCTTCCAGCATGCCACTACCTGCTTCTTCATCTCTAAACTTTCGTCCGGTGTGAGTCGGGTCTAAGGAGCTGGACAAGCTGGTGAACTGTGACACCTCCTCTATCTTCTCCTTCTCATCCCCGGTAGACAAGGAGGTCACATTAACAGCACTATCAACCTCAGTTTCATTTCCCACCACAGAGTTACCTGTTGAAAGGAGCAGATTACAGTTAGGAGAACTCAACGAATCAATGAAAACCCTTGCATTCATTCAAAAAGCCACTGGTATTTAACTCTTTGCTATTTCTTTCTCAGTGGTAGGTTTGATTTGCATTGATTCTCCTTTGCCATTATCCGCTCTAACAATGAAAAGTTTATTTACTTCTGTATTGCCAGGACATTTTTGTTCCAAGAGCATCTGTGTTTTTTACTTAAATCCAGCGACTAATAAAGAAATAAATTTAGTATAGTTGGAGATATAACGTGTGACAGTAGAGACTAAGGTCTTTGGCACAGAGATGGTCCCCAGAAAAAAAATGTTCCCAAAAATGGCCAGATGTGCATGGTCTGGATTTTATTAGTGAGCGTGAATCACTAATGTAGAATTTATGTGACAAATCTGACGGAGATGAATTTGATACAACTCCTTTGTGGTAACATTAGTCTCTGCATTCGTGCAAGATTAACATGCCTTTCAAACACAGATGTCAAATCAATACTGAGGCAAAAACACCAAACACAAAACAACAAAGAGGAGACATATTCAAGCTTTGTACGTTTAGAACAGAAAAGAAAGCACATGAAATTGGATATTTAGAAACCTTAGGTTGTAATTGTAAAAAAATTGTAATTGCCAAATATTTTTACAATTTAAAAGAACTGTTTTCTACTTTATTGTATGTATTTTAAAATGTAATTTACTAATGTGATGGCAAAGCTGAATTTTTAGCTGCCATTACTCTAGTCTTCAGTGTCACATGATCCTTCAGAAATTTGATTCGAAAAAATTTATTTGAAAAACGAAAGGTACAACTATGAAAACACTATGTAGACAAATATATTTAGCTTAAGTGCACAGAGTAAAAAAAAAAAGAATCCTATGTTTATTTTAATACAAAATATAATGACTAATACAGGAAGACATGATCAATCTAAATAGAAATCAGATGTGTAATTAAAATTCATGATCTCTACTGTATGTTTAAAGAAAGTGTTTTGCACCATTAACACAGCCAATGCAAAGTAATACATCTCTCATTTGAGTAGCAAAAGCATATTTGCAGTTTAGTGTATCTGCTAAATTGTATAATGGTGTTTTAGTGTGACTCATGTATAGAGCAGCCAGTGATTAAATTTGGGATAAAAGCAAACAAACTGTGGTGTGGAAGATCTGAATTTGATAAGTGAGAACAGTTAATGCACAGCATCCTTCAATCATTTGCAAACGTGTGTCATGGATACTTGACGGTAAGCTAATCAGGAACAGGATTTTCACATACGCTTTTAGGTATCTCCTTTTCCTCTAACAGAATATGCCGAGCTGGTCAAACAGTTAAGAATATTTGTTTTGTAGAAGTAAGAACATTTGACACCAGCTGGAATGCTGGTTTTGCAGATTTTGTTGGTTAAATAGCCAGATCTTGGTCAGATCTTTACAGCCACGGCTTTATCAAAGATCTCCTGCCATACTATTTAATGCTTCTCCCAGACAGGACGCAGTACAGAAGCGAGGAAACAGGGGCCCCAGGCAAAGCGGACACAAAAGGCCCTTGTGTTTCCCCTTTTCTCTTAGATGGTCAAATCTTGTTACATAATACTCAGTTACCCCTTTTCTCTCAGGCACCCCAATGCAGCCCAGAGGGGAGGAGGTAATTTGGGGTTTGCCGCTTGTTTGGTGGCCAGGCTGGGAGGAATGATGGCCACGGGATCTTAGTTGCATGACTTTGGGGAGACGCCAAACTCTTTGTTTGTGCAGCTCTGCAGACACTGAAGGGTGGACAGTGAGCGTGTCTGTATCTCAGATGGTTTTCTGATGGCAGGCTGCCCGAGCAAAAACTGTGGGAGGTACAACTCAGAAAAAACCATGGACCCAACAGCTTCATTTAACGTTTTTCTGTCATCTTCTATCATAACCGTAACTTATAATAGGTCTGTTGTAACATTGCAGTTTCTTTAAAGTCAACTTATTTCTAATTTACAATTAATGTGAAAAAAACTAGTGCTGGACCATCAAGATCCATTTTATCCATTGATTAACTGGATCATGGAAAGTGGTGGTTAGCAGAGATGGAAACTCGAGTCTGTGACTTGGACTGAAGTTGCACTTAAAGGGGTCATATGATGCTATTTTAAAGATCATTATTTTGACTGGATTCGTCTGAAAGAAGAAAGTCATATACACCTAGGATGACTTGAGGGTGAGTAATTTATGGGCTAATTTTCATTTTTGGGTGAACTAACCCTTTAAGTCACATAAATAAAGACTTGGGACTTGACTTGGACTCCTGAACAGCTGACTCGAGACTTGACTTGGACTCATGACTCATGAGACTCGTAAAAAACGCAAGTCATTTGGTATGGGACTGGGAGTTTATATGAATGTATCTCTGAGGGGAACTGGCTGTCTTTAGAAAATTTTAGATGGTATTTCACCTAGGATGACTTGAGGGTGAGTAATTTATGGGCTAATTTTCATTTTTGGGTGAACTAACCCTTTAAGTCACATAAATAAAGACTTGGGACTTGACTTAGACTCGTGAACAGCTGACTCGAGACTTGACTTGGACTCGTGACTCATGAGACTCGTAAAAAACGCAAGTCATTTGGTATGGGACTGGGAGTTTATATGAATGTATCTCTGAGGGGAACTGGCTGTCTTTAGAAAATTTTAGATGGTATTTTCTTTTTATCTTGCCTCTGTATAATGCATATTAAAGTAGTGTTCACAACCGCAGCGCTGCTTTGTTTATAGCGGAAACCAAGGAAATGATGTTTAATTGCTGTTCAAGCACCACCTGCTGGCAGAGAGTGAATCTGCATTCTAATTCAGCCTGTCTGCTGTTTTGTTTCGTGCAGATGTTTTATGTAGAATATTTTCACAAAATTAAAGTCAGAACATTTAGTTTTTGTTTTAAATTTTGAAATTATACAATCAAATGTAAATTAAAAACTGCTCATGCATGCAGCCTCTTTGTTAGGATTGTGTTGTGTTTAAAATACTGTGGTTGCCTCTAATTTTAAATTTAAAAAGAGAACAGACATGCCTTAGTTTGTTTATATGGGATTTATTTAATTTGTGTTATTCATTTGATTGATTGGGGTTTGTTTTAAAATTTCAATTTAGTTTTGTTGTTTGACATATTTCAATTTTACAAAGAAATGTGCAGAATTTTGTCTGAAAATTAATAAATGGACACCTTTTCATTTCTAATTAGTTTTACATTTTGTTAAAGTATTTTTTGATAAAATCATAACGTGAAATCAGTATTTCAAAACCGATTTAGCCTCAATAACTAGCTGAAAGAACTGTTGCTAATAAATAGATCAAAGACTTGAGACGTGACTTGGACTCCACCTCAAAGACTTAAGACTTGACTTGGACTCGACCTTAAAGACTTGAGACGTGACTTGGACTCCACCTCAAAGACTTAAGACCTGACTTGGACTCAACCTTAAAGGCTTGAGACTTGACTTGGACCTCAGAGACTTGTGAACATGTCTGGTGGTTAGGCATAAAATAAGGTTTTTTTTCGGAATAAAATGGAATTTTAACAATAAAATTTGGAAAGTTTATTAAAAATAAATAGAATAGTATAAATATATGTAACATTACGGTTTAAAAGTTTGGAGGTGGTAGAAATTTTTTAATGATCTTGGAAGAAGTTTCTTATGCCAAAGCTGCATTTATTGGATCAAAAATATGGTAAAAACAGTAATACTGTGAAATATAATTACAATTTAAGATGTAATTTATTCCTCTGATGGCAAATTACTCCAGTCTTCCATGTCACATGATCCTTCAGAAATCATTCTGATATTCTGATTTTGTGCTCAAGAAACATTTCTTATTATAATCAATGTTTAAAACAGTTGAGCTGATTAATATTTTTGTGAAAACATAAATATACATTTTTCTGAATTATTTCATGAATAGAAAGTTAAAAAAGCAGCATTTATTTGAAGTAGAAATCTTTTGTAACATTATAAATGTTATTACTGTAATTTTTGATTAATTTAATGCATCCTTGTTGAATAAAAGTATTAATTTCTTTAAAAAAAATTATGTTACTGACCCTTAACTTTTAAACGGAAGTGTATATACGTGAAATGCATTATGTGTTAATGAGGAATACTGGCCTTAACCTCTATGTCTAGCAGTACATCCAGGAGCTGATGCCAAAAGGGCTTTATTTTTATATCACCGGATGAAGCGCCTTAATCACTGCATCCCTCCAGAAATTTGCAATGACAAAAAACGAATATATGCAAAAAATAAAGATGGATAGGGAGCAAATTCAAAAAAGGCAACCCATCAGTGTTGTCAACACAAAAATGCCTCTATTCAATAGGCTTTTAAGAAATTCCATAGTTTGTAAAAACACAGGATTCCATCCCTCCATGGAATATTTTACCTTGACTAATTATGCAGAGGTATTAACAGTCAGATCTTTTGACCTTGAGACATAATCAGACAGCTGCCACTGTCTGCCATGTCTCTTCACCTCCCGTTGCATAAATCTTTTCATTTCTATACTCAACAGGTGGTTGGATGGAGGAGGGATGTGTTGCCATGGGAACCAGCTTGCCCTCACTGTGCAGAGTGAAAAACCATCATCAAATTTATAAGTCCACATCATACAAATTCAAGTAAAAAAACACCTAGAAAATATAAATCTGTGCCAAGCCTTCGACAAAAAAGGGAAAAAATATATAGACACAGCTGCTTAATTTTCTAGCATCAACACAACCACTGATTTTTATTTTATAGCCTGTCATTTTTCTACTTTGACAGGTTCATTAAATATTTATTAAATTAGATACATTAGGGGTGGGGTGATCAGTTTCTGATGAAACCAAATGGCAGCAGCCCACATCAACACAGCACATCTTTATAATTCACTCCCTTTCCTCTGGTTGCATTAAATTCATTAATTAAAAGGCAATGAAGACCCAGTAAACTCCTGCCTTCAAAATATTGCTAAAACAAA